CGGCCTCGTTGTCGCAGCGGAGACGCATCAACGGGGGGGCCGAGGCGGGCGCGCGGGGCTCCTCCGTCAGGACGTGGCTGATCTTGCGGTGGAAGAGCGAAAAGAGCTTGAGTAGGTTCTTCTCCAAATTCGACTGGACGCCACCGAGATGGATGCACGCGTCTGGACTTCGCCGGGAGCCCCGTGCTTCGCTTTGGCGCCGTAGAAGATGGGCAGCTTCGTCGAAAACGCTCCGGACCTGCTGAAGCACAATTGGAAGGATCGCATAGGGAGTCCGTAGCGTGCTCTGCTGTTGGTAAAGTACGAGAAGGAGATCGCTCAGCTGATTGGCGTAAGTGCAGGCATCCACAAGAGCTAACCCCAGGTTCGCTTGAATGCCTTTCCGAAACTCAAGATTCACATCTGAGGCTGTAGATTCGAGCAGTGAACTCCCTTGTTTATCATCTACATAAATTTCATTGCTTGTATGTACAATAGATAATATCAGATTAATCTGGCATCCAAGCCCGTAGAAGGCAACCCAGAGTTCTCCCGGAACCTCTTCAAGGGCTTCAGCAATATTTTGACTTTCTTTTTGTCTTTTCCATATGATCATCAACTCGCTTACGGTACGGCTGAAATTCGCACCATGTATCCCGAGATGGGCGGCATCTCCTAAAAAAGCCTCCTCCAGCTCTATGCACGCTTCCTCTCGTTTAGACTCATCCATACAGGAAAGCTTTTTAACAAACCCGTCAAAAAAACGAGCTGCCATTGAAAACGAAGCGAGGCTATCGGAAGCAGTACCACACTTAAGAGGAGCTGATATCGCAGACGACAAAGGATTCGACGGTTGCCCTTCTTTGAATGACGCGTTTGATATAAATGTGGAATTCGACGGCGGTGTGAAAGGGGATGCTGCCACTGTTTTTTGAGGTAAAACGACAGTCTCTGGGGAACTATTTATTTTTTCAACATTAAAGAAAGGACTCATATTCGAGGCAGCATCAATCGTAGGGCATGGATGGGAGTTCGCTGGAGCCTGTGTTGGGGGGAACGCGAAAGCTGAGGTATCCTGCCTGTATCGCGCGTTGCCGTAGTCGGCCTGTGCAAAGCCATCATCCGCGCGCTCCCGTCGATTACTCCCCCTTTGAATATTTTCTAACACTCCATCACGGTTTAGCAGATTATTGCGATATTGAAAGGGTTGGGCACCTTTGTTAATATTATCAGCCTCCACTTCCTCTTTGTTAGTACTGGTATTTTTATTATCCGCAGCGGCTTCTTTTCCATATGGACGTTCTTTCCAACTACGTGGAACCCCACCACCACCTCTTGGCATGCGGCTATTTATTTTTAAATCTTTTAAATCCCCTTGTGAGGCTTCAACTACAAGCTGCGAGGAGTAAATAGGAAGCTGCGATGATAAAACGCCAAAGGGTTCTAATATTTTGGGTTCTGCCGAGGCATCGCCACTACTTTTATGGGAGGTCGAGTTAAATACGGAGCCTGGTGGTTTAAAAATGGAAAAAGGGGGCAATGATGAGGTTTGCGGAGAGTTGACTGAATTAGGTGAAGGTATTAATACTCCTTTGCCGCCACGCCCACGTCCACGTCCACGGCCTCTTCCAAAATGAGTGTTGTCGCCAATAAAAGACATGGTAAAGTCTTTCCCTAGTAAAAATGACTTTATAAAAAAGATGAATGTATGAAAACAAGGATTCATTTAATACGGAATAGTAAACAAAATCATAAATTTCAATCCCCTTAAGAGTACTTTCAAGTGGAAAGCTCTCTGCCTATACATCAAACAAGATAGCGATAGAAAGCTAGAAGATTTTTTTCACCGTATTAGTCAATATACAGATGAAAATGTTCACCCATACACATAATAACAGTAAAATGAACCTTTACTTTATATTCTGCGCTAATACTCCGTTTTCTCTAACTCTCCGAGGTTTGGACCTACTTTTACAGAAACATCCAATGGAACGGTAAGCCCTAGAGCTTCCCCTTGTTCTATCATAATCCGTTTAAGACGAGGCGCGACGATCGAAATTGCTCCACTCGGAACTGCGTATATTAATTGATCATAAACCGATATAAGCAATGCAATGGGGGAAACTGGAAGAAAAGGGATTAATTCATGACGCTGTTGATGAATAGCTCGCATGGAGGCCTGCAAAAGATCTGAGGCCCCGCCTTGAATAGCGAAGGCGGCGTTCACCTGCCGTTGTCTGGTGGGATTTGGCTGATCAAAGATTGGCAGCACACCGGAGAGAGTCGATAGCGATTTATTCTGTGCTGCTTGTTGTAGAGTATGAAGAAGATAATGACGAACCCTTGGATAGGACTTGTAAAAAGCTTGAATGAGCTCGCACGCGGTGATTGAGCCGTCAAAATGCTCTTGAAAGCTAGGTAAACTCCTTAGATTTTCAGCAGCTTCCGTTTCCTCCGTTTGAAGGAGTTCGGTAAGCTTATCTTTTAGATTCTTCACCTCCGTAGTCGCAGCAGAACTTTGTGTGTGTTTTAAAAAGGCGCTCCGCATTATACGCAGCTGATGATCCATCCTATTTGTCCCCATCCCATACAGTATACCATAAACGATAATCTTCATTGATTGCCGCTGAATTTCCTCAACTGATTCTTTAGTGGAAAGACCGTATACAGTCCTTGCGATCAATTCTAAAACATCGCATCGATTTTGCAATTGATTTAACAAAGTCGCATCATGGCTAAGATGAGCAAGAACCCGTAGCTCGATTTGATTAAAATCGAGCGAGACAAGCACGCAGCCTGGCGGCGCGCAGTATAAGCAGCGTAAACCCCACCGAGGCTGTCCTTTAAAGAGCAAGCTAAAGTTATCGTCTTTTGATTCAAGGAGAAGATTGTGCTTATTAGTGTCAATATTACAGTTAGTTGGATGCCTTGGAATAGAGAATCTGGCGATTGGAAGCTTTTTTGGGATCGTCTGCACATTCGGCGCTGCGGAAAATATACGGCCAGTTGTGGAACCGTGCGGTACCCATCGCGGATGAATTGAGTACGCGATCTCCACTTTTTTAGAATTAGAAGTTTGGGTACCCTCAAGATATGCCACATGGACTCGCACGGGGGTTTCGTTTAAATTAAACATTTCTAAAAGGCTTTTCCGGAACATCTGGCGCTCGTGAAGCGCTAACCAGCACTTGGAGAGGCAAATGATATTAGTAATTGCAAAAGAGAGCGTTCGCAGCTCACTGTCAGGACCTGTATTCTTTTCCAGCCATTCAAGGAGACTTCGCGCGAAGGTGAGAACCAGGATGGAATCTGACGAGATAATCACTGAGGCCCCGCATGCCGTTCTGTCGGAACGCACGAGGGTGGCGGATTTGGTTTTTAGCATGGCCTCTTCGGCGGCGGCAGGTGGAAGCTCTTCGCAGAACAACTCCAGAAGTTTGAGAGGATTGATGGTATCCAAGGGAGGGATGTTCGTTAGGTCCTTAATAGGTGAGATAGTCGAGTGAGATGGAGACGATACTGAACTCGCTAATTCGATTCGCAGTGAACTTTCCTCTGCCAAGGACCTTCCACGCCGCAGCTCAGACCAACAAAGTTCCGCTGTTTGAAAAATTTCCTCTTTTTGCTCGTCGAGATTTGTCAAAAAGGCGTCAAAGCGGGTTCGATCTAAAAAGACCCCGTGATAGGACATTAAGGCGCATAAAAAGGTTGTGTATGTGAGCCGTTCGCATAAATCCATTATGGTTAACGGCGAAGCTGCATCACCTTGGGCGATTCCAACATTCTCAAACGGTTGTAAAACTTCATCGTAATACATAAATACGGAAGCAAGCTCCTTACACGTCCAGAGAACGGAAAACGAACAGGTCGACTGAGGGTCGACTTTATGATAAATAATAGTTCCTTGTTTACTAAATTTACCTGTTATTTTTGTGTGAACATCACCATCTTGCGTTGGTTGCGCGAGAGAATCCGCTGTGCCTTCATTTGACGACTGATGGTGATCATCTTCCTGACGATTTATTTCCCTCAAACTTCGACGAACAACTGTTCCTACATCGACCAAATCCTTATCTAGAGGTTGGCAAACACTTGTTGGGGCCTCCTTCAGTATGGTACGTAATTCAGAAGATGATCTGCATTGGCCAACCGCCCGATGCCCATTCCCATCATCGAAAACAGGCTCGTCTAAAATACGAAGAGATCGGCTAAAATGAGCGTCGATGAGGCGCTGTGTGGATTCATCAAGGGCCTGATAGACTATCTCGACTCCGAGGGCCTCGCCGGCATCGAGTGCGCGTGCGGCTGGCGCGCTTCGCTGTCTTTGGCCCTCCCC